TCATAATTAATGAGTTTTTTAAAATAAAATATAAAAAATTGGATAAATTTTTTTAAAAACTTGACTAGTATATTTTGACTCCAACGTCATATTTATATTTATAAATTTTGGATCTTTTTGCCAAAACTTACAAATTTTATGACCAAAGAAAATTTCCCAAACTTTATTGATGATATTTCTGTGAGAGATTGGGGCAGCCTCTACTCGTTGGGCTTTCGTGGTGTCCAGATGATTCTCCCATTTGTGTTGATAACTATTTACTAAATGACCTTTTTTTTTAATTTATGGACTTTTTAAATTACAATCTAAAGAATTTATCCGAGAAAATCTAAAATCTTTTGAGAAAATATTAGAAAAAATGGCACAGCATATACTCTCTTTTAACTAATTGGCAACATATAGCCCCTTTTTATTTTTATAACAAAAAAGGTTTTTTAAAATTAAAAATTGGCATATTTTGGCCCTTTTGGCCCACGTTAATATATGGGAAGTAATTTATATTTAAATTAATTATTTTTTTAATTTGGTCACAGCATGTTGCAATTTTATTGGGAAGTGGGACTTTGTTCCCTTTTTTTCTCCTCTTTTCTCATATACACGTTTTCTTTGATTGGTGACTATTTATTGATAATGTAAACATTTATATCATTCTTTTTCAATCCTTTTAAACAAAAGTGTTAAAAGTTGATGTTATATCTTCTCTAGAAGATTTGCATGTCTTCACTTTTTATATTGTTAATTTTTTTTCTTGGTTTTTTAATTTTTCAAGTTGAAAGTTTTTATATTTGGGCGAAAATTATTGATTGTGGGTATCAATTGCCATGGTTAAGAAAATATTCCTAGAATTATTCCTAAAAAGGGAGATTTTGATTCTGATTTTGTTGAATCTCCACCCAAAACTTCAAATTTTAGTCATGCAAGTTCTTCACGGTATCCAATTTATAGTAAGGATAATTTTAAAGGTAAACAATGTGAATCGGTTGGTGTTGTTGATAAAAAAAAATTCAAAAAAGAGTTATTTCAGTTGAGGTTGCTAGAAGGAGAATGATTATAGAAAGTGATGAATCGTCTAACTTTGAATATTTTTTACTTGTGTAATGCC